AGGGCAGAGCCGGCTCTGTAGGAACTAACTCGAGGGCCCTCACTGAGGGCCACAAAGCTGTGTGTGCAGAGTGAGCGACGAGCTGCATGCTGACACAACACGCTGGGCGGGCTTTCCCTCTGCCACACATGGTTTCCTCCATGATTTCAAGGGTTTCCACATGTGCAGAGAACCGCCCTGAAAGTTTTCATGGGTGAGGCCTTTGGGGGGAAAGAAGATCATGAGGCCTGTCTTCTGAGGAGCCCTGGGTGAGCTTGAACCCCCAAACTTTTCTGTTAGTAACCCGGGTCTTAACCATTTGCCCCATCCTTAAACCTACTGTCAATTCCATCTCATGGCAACCCCCTCAGACAGAGTAGAACTGCCCCTTAGGGTTTCCTAGGCTGTCAACTTTTGTGGAAGTTTCCTCTTTCTCTTGGAGTGGCTGTGTGTGTGTATGTGAACTTAGATAGAAGCCTACCGAACCACCAGAGGCTTTTTGGCTCCACACACGACTCCCCTTGCCACTTCCCCATTGTAATTTCCTTACATGGAGCCTCTCCTTGTAGTGTTAGTGGATACCCCTAAAGTACTGGGGCCAGGGGAACCTGGTATCACTGTGGGCTAAGCACTCCTCTGGAAGAACGTGAGGCAGTCTGCACCCATCAAGTTGGGCTGCCTCGCAAACCCTTTGGAGCAGATCTCTGTCTTGGACAGTCACCACGAGTCAGAATCAATGCCGTGGAAGGCAGCTTTGCTCACAACTATGCGACCAATGCCACACAAGAATGGACTCGAGAGCAGTGGGTGTGATCTTCTTGTTTCCGGCAGCTACAGAACCTTGGTGGTGCAGTGTCCTGTTAAGGCACAGTCGACAGTTTGAAACCACCCCAGCTGCTCCACAAGAGAAAGAGGGTGCTGTCTGCTCCCATAAGTATTTGTCAGCCTCAGAAACCCTGTGGAGACGTTCTCTTCTCTCTGTAGTGTCACTGTAAGTCAGACACCACCCCACGGCAGTAGCTGGGTTTTCTGATTTTTACTGAGTGGTGGCATGACAGTTAGCTTGGGGGCAGAAGTGCGGGCAAAATATTGCAGTTGGCTGCTTCAGAGCATGTCTGTTCTCCAAGAGAAAGGGCCTGGATGCTCACCTGAGCAGGTGGTCCAGGCAGCCCTCCAGGAAGGATACGGACTCTAGCTGCAGCTTCTGGGGGTGCCACAGGCTAGTGAACAGGACAATGCACTGTCACGTGTACTTTTCCCTTTTGGCCCCAGAATGGTGGGACGGCAAGGCCTGCCAGGTGACGGAGCAGGAACCTGTGCAGATTCACCATCTGGCCCAGGTACAGTGCCACTGCCCCAGGTGGGGCAGTCTGCTGGGCAAAAAGGCAATCTGCTTCCATAAAGACTGACAGCCTATGAAGCCCTCTGAACTCAGTCATTGCGTCATTTCTCATGGCGATTCTATAATGCAGAGCAGAACTGTCCCTGTGGGTTTCTGTGACTAACTCTTTTGTGTGTGTGTGTGTGTGTGTGTGTGACTAACTCTTTACAGCAGTAGGAAGCCCCATCTTTCTCACTCTGAAACCTTAGGAAATAGTTTTTCTCAGTCCTCGGAGGCCACTCTGAGTCACAGTCCACTCGATGGCTGTCCGTATAATGCTGGCTGATGAGGTCTTGCATGCCCATCACCACTGTTTTAGCCAAATACAGAGACCAGATCGATTTGAGAAACTCTTCGTTTATTTCTGCAAGAGCTTGAAGGAAGAAAAGAATGGGGTTGAAACCTCCCCCAACTGCGTCAGAGATTGACAAGCAAGTTACATGGCCAAAACTCTGTGGCGAGTTGAGGGAATGTTTACTAGGTTTGTTACAATGAACAGCAACCTTCAGCAATGGGACAAAGGAGTCATGGTTCACAGAAATGGGAGGCATCCTGTCACTCCCTGAGGTTCTCAGGCTCTGCTGCTTATCTAAATGCTCTCTCTTGCCCAGTTGGTTTTGTTTGTCCAACTTGCTGAATTAGAACATTCTTAAGGTTAAAGGCAATTTTACTGCAAAGGGGAGGGGGCTGTACATTTTGCCGTTTTTCTGCAAACCAAGTCTTAAACAGACCAGATCTCACCCCATGTCACTTTCCCAACATTGATTAACAGCCGGCTAACTCTCTTACCCACTGTATCAGGTATGACGAAGTAAGGCCTTGTCAGAAACTAGATGAAAGGACAAAGAGGAAGAATTCATGGATGCTGAGGCAGCAACTAGGCGCCCTGGTGGTATAGCGGTTACTACTGACCAGCAGCCCCACCCCCACCCCCCAAACACTCAGTGGGAGATGGTGTGAGTCCGAATCGACTCAATGGCATTGCGTTTGCTTTTTGTTGGTTTTGAGGCAGCATAAGAAGGAGCCCTGGTGGCGTCATGGAATAAGTCTGGAGGCTGCTAAACACTGACCTGGTGGTTCAAACCCACCAACCGCTCCCAGGGAGAAAGATGAAGATGTCTTGCTCCCAAAAAATCTTAACAGTCTTGGAAACACTAGAGAAGGTCGCTATGGATTGGAGTCCTCTCGATGGCAGTGGATTTGGGCTTGGTGGCTGTTTGGAGGCTGCAAGCTGGCCTCGTTGCAGGTTCCTAGAGAAGGGTCCACTGCAGATTATGGGAAAGGGGCCCAAACTGAGGGAGATGAGTGCTGGACTGGGGGGCAGGCATTTATTTCTCTGGACCCCCTCAAAGCCGGCCTTAGGGCCTGAGTAAACAGCTCTCGGGAACTGTGGCATCCCTAGACTCTTCCCATGTGTCAGGCCCAGCCCCATCCAGGCCCACTCTCCCCGGCTTGCAGCTCTTGCAGCTAGACGCTGCTCCGGCGCTCGCCACCAGAGGCGCTCGCGTGCGCGCATGCGCCCCGTAGCCCAGTGCTTCCCTGAAAGCCAATCAGAGGCGGCAGCGGCC